CTCGATGATGGAGGTTTCCCAGATTGAGAGTACTAGTCTCCAGGTTGCTATCCATGGGTGACTCCATACTAGAAGTTTCGCAGCTGTTTGGAGGTGACATGAATTCCAAAGGTCTTCTCCAGTCAGGCTGCGACTGGAGATGACTTCATATTTTGGTGTACATGAAGGTGATGGGCGAGAGCCAGCTCCTGCTTATCGAGGAACATCTTGGGTATCTTCCGCCCTGGTACTCGTATCCACGTCCTCTGTCTGGGCAGCGAAAACTTTGCTGATATGTGACTCGGTCGAAGTGACTTTTTTGGCTCCCCCTGTATGCGCTTCCATGCCTATCAGGTTCTTTATGTATATGAGATATCTTTGAAGCCTGACCCTCCGCAAACTCGCTTCGCTCAGAGGCTCGAAATCATTATAATACATAACGAAGTGCTACACTCTTGCTCGCTGCTGATGATGGGGCGTGTCCATGAGCCTTGGTTTGGCGCGCCCCAACTCGCGTTTTGTGGATGCTGACGGGTGGAAGGTGACTAAAAGTGGTGAAAAACGGCCGATGCGAGCTATATGATACAGGAATTTTAGCAGCTCGCTTCAACAACTGATGGATACAGTCTAGCGCCGCGCCAAACCCATCCTTTCTATTCGGTGTTGTAGGCTAATTCCGGGAACCTGCTTTATTTTGCAAGAAGTCCAGAGGAAGACTGATGTCCACGTTCCAAGAAAAAAAACGAATACAGAGTTTCTATTTGCTCTAAATGGGCTTCTAACGTCAAACACTGAAGGAGTCTGACTGAGTGCATTCAATTCACAGAAACCCTTGGACGTTTCTCGAGACGTTTCTCGTAGTTGGTTATAAAAGCTGCGCTCATTTGAAGTCACTAACGTCAGAATAGTGAGTAATGAGTACGAAAACCAACATCGGTCCCACTGCGACCACTAGCCACTCTTTTTCCCCACCTTAAGGGAAAGGCACTCCCTCTGACCCGGGTGCTTCATCCTTTACAGTCGTTAAGAAATAAAAATGGTCAATACCAGCAATGTATGCGAACTGGACTGCCGTGGCAGAAGGACTGGTGCCGCGACTTTGGGAGGCGAATTGGTGCGTTTTCGGAAGGAAATCCGGGATCTGGCGTCGGATGACAGCGATTCGCTCGATGACCTGAAACAATGAAATGGAGATCTGTAATAGAAATACATGTATGTTGTCTCAAAAGAAACATTTTCGCTGCGGTGAAAAAAGCGGGCAAGGTATACTCGAAGTCCCTGAAATGGGGTAGGCGTGGCTGCATGCTTTCAACTTAACTGAAGGAGTCTATGCTTCTGGTGAATATTTCATCTTGACACAATTGTTGTCGTGTCTCTGTCCAACACAGAACAAGATGACAGTTGTCCCAGACTGGAATATTCCACGAGTAACCAGTTCC